AGCGCTGCATCCCAAAGAAGTTCCTGTGTGATGGAGAAAAAGACTGTGTGGATGGCTCAGATGAAGTGGGCTGCAGTAAGTACTGAGAAGCTGCAATAGTAAATGAATCTAACAAAGCAAATTTACTATAAAACATTTTAGATTTTTCTATCGTCTTAACTTTTGTTAATAGATTAATAGACACTACATGCTAAAGCTAACAGTTTGTTCTTTCCAGATCAGGATGCTGCTCCATCATCAAAGTCTCCCGTCTTCACTTTTGCATCACCTTGCGTTGCTCCTTCAGTTCTCTGCCCTGGATCATCACTGTGTATCTCTCAAAATCAGCTCTGTGATGGACAGAGAGACTGCCCCGATGGTTTTGACGAAAACGGCTGTGCTGTCCATTGTGTAAACCCAAGTAAGTGGTTAAATTACCATAAAGAAAGGTAGCATCATTCATGCAGCCACATCCAAACTTGGGTGTGCACTTGCTGTCTGAAAGATTAAAAAAAAAAAGGTGAAGTTCTTTATTTTGAATGATGTTTGTATTTTCATCAAGCATCATAGGCGCTCTGATATCTTGTAGAAGCAGCTTACATTAAATCCTTCAAGCGTTGTCTCCAGTGTTATATAGCCACCTCTGTGCTTCTCAAACCTGCACCTTTTTGTTCCTGCACATCAGATGACTTCTTGTGCAGCAACCAGAAAAAATGTGTCCCTGGAATGCAAGTGTGCGACGGCCGAGCCCAGTGTCCCGATGGCTCTGACGAGAAGCACTGTCAATCACCAAATCCTACTGCCACCTGTAAGACGCGGTTAATCAAAGAAAATGTGTGACTTGATTGTTTGCTTGCCCAAACAGTCTGCCCTTTAACGCATAATGTTCTCTCTGTCAAGCCTCCATGAGTGGCTTCGGCACCAGACAAACTCCTCTCAGATGCCGCATTGGTTTCAAACGATGTAAAAATGGCCATGAGTGCGTTATGTACAGCCATGTGTGTGATGGGGAGAAGGATTGCAGTGATGGCTCAGATGAAGAGGGATGTGTGGCTGGTAATTTCTAAGTGTATCATTTTCATATTATTTGTATCATTTCTTGTATTCATCTGTTGAATTATTTTAAAGACTGATTGTAGTGAGCTGGTAATAGATGGAACACTATAAAGTACTTCCATGTGCCCTTTAGTTAAAGCAACTATATTAATTTATAATTCAGAAATGGTATCTTGAAGTCTACAGCACTGCTGATTCATTTCATTTAATATTTTTGTAGATGGTGCAAGTATGGCTACTGACACAGGAACACTCGGCTCAACTGTATCTCCTTCCGTCAATCTTCGCACAGAGCAGCCTTGCATCAGTCCTTCAATTCTGTGTCCAGATTCCACTTTGTGCATAGAACCAGCACAGATATGTGATGGAAAACAAGACTGTCCCGATGGCTCCGATGAGAAGTGCATGAAGAAGTGTCCTGATGACAGAGACTTTCTCTGCAAGGACCGAAGGGGCTGTGTCTCCCTGAGTCTGGTCTGTGATGGACTCTCTCATTGTCAAGATGGATCAGATGAACTGAACTGTCCTAGTGCAGCCGCTCCTGCCGCTAAAGATAATGTGCTGCAGTGCCACAGGAACGCAAAGATGTGTAATGATGGCACAGAGTGTGTTTTACTCAGCCATGTATGCGATGGAGAAAAAGACTGCATGGATGGATCTGATGAAGAAGGATGTCAAAATACCTGCAAAAGAGGTTTGGTTGTTTTTGGTTTATTTCTTTATTTTTCCAATTTAAACTTCATTTAGTTCATCTTTTAAATGTCTGAGCTTTGTTTTTTGATGATATGAGCTTAATGTTACCTTGTTTAAACCTGTACATGTGAGGGTGCAAATGGCTTCGTCCTTGATTGTCTTCTTTCTA